GTTTATATGTACTGTCATNAAATCATCTTAAAATAGGATAATGACAGCTACCCAACTCATGATTATTTCGAAAAGTATTTATAATCATCCCATTATTGAATCTTATAAACTCCTGACATACTTGTTAATGCACCATAGGTAATTAACCAACAAACCAGCCAGTATGAAACGCAAAATTTCCTTCGGGGGAAAATCGAAAGTAGTACAATCAATCATAGTTTTTTTAATTTGCTTAATGTGGGGGGGGGTGGAGTCTAGCTGGGTCCACTCGGCATGGCGGCCACTGATTGGCCTATTGTACCTGCCCCGGGTGATTATGATGATGGAGAATTTGGTGGAATGAAGATTGGCAGGGGAAACCGAAGTACTCGGAGAAAACCTGTCTCAGCGCTACTGTGTCCACCACAAATCCCACTTGACCAGACCCGGGCTTGAACCCGGGTCGCCGCGGTGAGAAGCCAGCGACTAATCGCTTGAGCTATGGCGCGGCCGTATCAATCATAGTTACTGTATTACATGATTCTGTCGCAAGTGAAATTGAGAGCTGTAAATCTTGTGTACATACTACAAATCTCTTCCCCGCTTATTCATTATAAAAACCACACCAAAGGTTGGAGTTCCCTGCCCAATTTACCTCTCTTAGAAGTTGGTCCTATTTAACAAAACCTTTCAGGAAGGAATCCTGCCCTGAGGCAGCAGTCATGATCGTCATGATCTTGCCTCTTACAACTTGACCATACGATTTCCCGTTATTGGTAACGTACGTCACACGGTTTCGGGTTAAGAATTACTTCGTAAATTGTTCTCCAAGGCGACACACTCATGGGTACTTCTGAATAACTGGATATCAGTGGCAAATGCTTGACATAAAGTGAAGTCACGACGAATGGACATTTGTTTATTTCTGTTTATTGTTCCGTGTATGTGGGTGTTTGTAGTGTTTGAATATGACGTATAATAAGTTAGTGTACTTATCGTGAAATTTTAATTAATGTGCGAAGACTTGGAAGATGTTCTCGAGGATACATATATATTTAGCAAAGTTCATTGCAGTGTCAGTGTGCTCTGATCTGGGACCAGGAAGGTCCCTGCCACACATAATATATTGGAGTCAGGGTAAGCGAATTAGCCACTTTAAATGCACGTATTACAGATAAGCTTAGTATGTTATGTCTCACTCGAATTTCCAAAAAATTTCAGTCCATGAAGCGTCGTTAAATAGTTTACCAATCAACTCGACAAAGAAATGAAACTCAAAAAGGCCATGGAAGGAGCTTCTTTGTTTGCATTAAAAATCCCAAGAAAAAATGTCCCACCTCAGGTTAATGATAATGTTAGAGAGGCCTGCTTCAAATTTTGGTTTTTATTGGCGGCGCTCTTGTGAATTGTAGCATGTCTTGATGGCTACGGTTATCCCGCAATGCGCTGCAAAGCTGTTGCAATAATTAGTGCTGTATTTTACAGATAATTGCAAGTGCATGTTACGAACAGAACACTGTTTTACTTTAGTGGTCTACATATTTTATTTTATATGGTGAAGAGCACAGTTAAAAAATCTAAGTTTAAGCGCTTCTAACGATTTTGTTTACAGTTTTACAATAGGCTTATCTGCTCTCCTGGATATTGTCATTGTTTTGAATATTTTTCGAACAAAAATTTTCGGTAACATGATCTTCCATCGTCAGATGTAAAGGAGCAAATATTCCTGTTTACTTGGGCCCGTTACAAACGCCTAGTCTCAATCCACGGATCAGGGATGACGGAAACGTCCGTTTCTGAAATACTGTTTGTAACAAAAACTGAGGACAATGGTCAATGTCGAAAATAAATCAAGTTTATCACAATGAGAAACTTAGATTGCGGAATTCATAAGGATGACCTTGTGTCTAATGACAAAACGCAGTACAAATTTTGAATATTCACGCATTGTAAAATAGTCATTACTCTGGTGATACTGTAGGGGCACGCGGTAGCGTAGTTGGTTGAGGCACTACGCTACAAGCTGGACGGTCGCGGGTTCAAGTACCGATGAGGTCATTGGATTATTTCAATTGACCTACTCCTTCCAGCCGCACTCTGGCACTGGGGCCGACTCAGCCTCTAACAGAAATTTAGTACCAGGGATCTTCCTTGGCGGTAAAGGACGGCCGGCGAATAAGGCTGACAACCTTACCGCCATCTGTGAGCCGACTGTCTAGATAATGTGGCACCCTCAACGTCTCACAACCCTATGGGCCTTCACGGCCTGGTACAGGGATACCTTTACTTACTTACTCTGGTGATACTGTACAGTTCTAGATCTTGCGTATAAGTGTTTCTTTTAATTCGCTTAGTGGGGGGTGGAGTCCAACTGGGTCCACTCGGCACGGCGGTCACTGATTGGCCTGTTGTAGCCTGGCCCGGGTGATTATGATGATGGAGAATTTGGTGGAATGAAGATTGGCAGGGGAAACCGAAGTACTCGGAGAAACCCCGCCCCAGCGCCACTTTGTCCACCACAAATCCCACTTGACCAGACCCGGGATCGAACCGGTGCCGCCGCGGTGGGAAGCCAGCGACTAACCGCTTGAGCTATGGCGCGGCCCTGTGTATAAGTTTACTCTGATTAGGCGCTGTGTTCACGTATTCGTATTCGGGTACGCTGTGTATGTAAAGCGAATTTCGTGTGTGCTATTAAGTCTCTTACCCAGCTCCTTAACGTTTATCGTATTCTTGTGAATTTGGCATATATGTCGCTGGCAAATAGTAACGAAATACGATTCTGGATTAATGAATCGACATGTGTTACAAATAAAAGTAAAAAAGAACAGAGGGGCTCAAGAAAATGTATACATGCTTCAGCATATAAAGTATTTGCCTAAATTATTTATTGGTATATTTTCCGTTCATCTCTGAAAATACCCGCAGATAACATGTATTAAAGTTTGCTATTGTTGTTATGTACGGGCATTTACAAAGTTGAAGCGATGCTATACCAATAAATTATTTAAGTAGATATTTTGTACGTGTGGTCTATGCATTTTTGGGCCTCTCTACATATCTTCTGCTTCTCATGGAAACGGTCGTTGATCTGCTTATATAACCCAACAGGATCCTCAATCTACACACTTCAGCCCTAAAGATGAAGCAGCAAGTTCCTCCGAAACGTCTTTTCCACATACAGTACTGGACGGTGCCTCAACGCTGCAGACTACAATGTGAATGTAAACGATATGGGATTTAATGAGATATGTTACGCATTTCGCATTGGAAGTCCCTCTCTTGGAAGTCATTATCATGAAAAGGGGTCCTAAATTAGCCATGAGATTGTATAGGAAACATACTCACACAGGATGTTATCTACACTTCAAGTGTAATCACCACATCACGTGAAAAGAGGAGTTGTTCATAGCTTGGTCAGTGTCAAGAAGAGAAGGATTTCGATAAGGAAATTAAGAACACAGGGCATGATCTGGTACTTAATGAATATTCATAAGAATTCATTGATTCCAAAATGAAGGGAGAGAGAAGCAACCATCCTTCAGACATAGCACGGTCATTAGCCCACATGTTAGGGATATTAAAAAAACAGACGCATTTGGAACCGCTTCGATTTTGGAACATTTTAAAAATTGAGCATGCACTCCTTGGGACATTCATGTAAAATGGACAGATTAGAGAGGCCCAACAGAAGAACAGATGTGTGTACAGTATTCCATGTGACTACACGTATGACATGTTACATCGGCGAAACAAGCAGACGTTTAGAAGTAGGCATTAAGAAGCACAAATGTAACCTGACACCACGGTCTACTCGAAAAATCAAAATTAGCCCAACATGCATACGAAGAAGGCAACAAAATGCGTTGGAATGAAGCAAAGCTCTTGCAGATTGAACCGAACACTAGCTACAGGAAATACAGGGAATCCATCCATGTGTCTCTGGTTGCTCATCCGGTCAGTGAACCCAGCTCGGACATCTCCCCCATCTGTACCCGCATTATCGAAGCAGTCAGAAAATTACAGCTCCGTTCAATGCACGTAGATCATGTGGGAAAATTGTGTTTTTATATTGATACTACACAGATAATTCATTTAAGTCTTTGTTTTATCTTCTGTTAGGCCCCATCTGGTAGAAAATATTTTAATTTGCTTGAACTTTAATCTTCGATACTTGTTTATCTATATTTATACTTGTTTTTTACATATTTCTGGTTTTATTGGTTGATAGACTAATTTTTATTAATTTCTTAATTCGTTTAGTGGGGGGTGGAGTTCAACTGGGTCCACTCGGCACGGCGGCCACTGAGTGGCCTATTGTAGCCTGCCCCGGGTGATTATGATGATGGAGAATTTTGTGGAATGAAGATTGGCAGGGGAAATCGAAGTACTGGGAGAAAACCCACCCCAGCGCCACTTTGTCCACCACAAATCCCACTTGACCAGACCCTGGATCGAACCCGGGCCGCCGCGGTGGGAAGCCAGCGACTAACCGCTTGAGCTATGGCGCGGCCGGATGATAGTCTATGTCCCTTTATTGATGTTGTAACATTTTCTTCTTTTAGGATTACCCCTTTGCTGTTTGCTTGTATTTTGATAGTACTCTGGCTGTTAGAATATGTATGACCATATGTGTAGTGCCCCATGCGTATGGAGTATTATAATGTTTGCCTAAACTCCCACTGTTGTTTCATGTTGTGTGTGATTCATAATTGAGTAGGCTTTTACCCGAGGACGAGACTGAGTCCAGTCTCCGAAACGTTTTCAAATTAAAGATGAGCAAGTGTAATGTCCAAAAATCAATAATTGAGGTACATTGCACCAGGCATATTTTGAGACTCTTGTAAATGAGTTCAGAATAAAACGAGAGTTCCATCTCCTGCCTTAAGTAATTGTCGGCACTTGAAGCACATGTGCTACAAAAATTTCATCACTGCTCTTGTATTCTGGTACCAATCCATGTGCTTACCCAACATTTTCACAACCTTCACATTTTTATAAATTAAGTTAAACACAAATTTTAATTATAATTAGACATTTTTAATTATTAAAAACAGTGACAACACGAATTCCAATGTACAACTTGCACTATAGGACACAATACACCTAAAATTAAGTTGACTACATACTTATCAAAATACTTCGTCTGCAAGGAATCGCCGCGTCACCTAAAGCTGTTCGTAGTCGTCACGTTACGGACTGAGCTATCCCAGGACACCAATTCTACTGATGGGCTGCAGATTATGCATTGAGTTTTATACAACGTTTCAAAGGGGTTTTCGTTCCTTCTTAATCAGATGGGACTAATGAGCTTTGAACTCTCCCCCGAAAGGGATACCACAGCGAGTTTCATAGACAGATTGTTCATGGTGACAATTTATTCACTGTTGGCTTTCATGACTTTGTGGAAGGAACATTCGACACTTCTGCCTAAGTTCACGCTAGAAAAATAGTTCAACGAAGACAGAATTCATCGCGTGTATAGTAACTAACGTGTAAATATACGGAGATGTTAATATCTATACTGAAGATGTTTCGTTTTAATTATGTTGCGAGAATAGAGCATTAGGAGAGTCTCTCATCGTGTTACGCTGTTGGCAGCCGTGTAGATAAAGGGATGATCTGGTGTCGGACATAGGAATCGAGCGAGGGGCGTCTCCATGATGGCGAAGCTCTTGTTCCCCACGGGCTCCAGCAAAGAATTCCACAATGAACTGGCCGCTGTAATAAAGAAGTGAGCGTAATTACATAACTTTCTGCAACTGGACACGGACAAGCGTAATTTTTAAACGATATCTCGAATATGCAAACGAACTCAATCTATCGACACTACTAGAATATTTCTCTGTATTATACAATTTTGATATCATTTTACATTCATCACAATCTTCACAGTTGCCTAAAATTCCGACTTTTCGTTAGTTCTTTCAGTCTAATGTCGGGATAATTCGACCATCGTTAAAAGTTCGGTCATGCATTCTATTTGCTTTAATTACGATTTGACTCAGTCTGCATTGCTCAGATTCAATACCGGCTGTGTATGTTGTAGAGACAAATCGAACTAATATTGTAACCGCCGGTCACGGTAGCCGAGCGGTCTAAGGCATGCACTGTATTTCGCTCGCTTGGAAACCGGGATCATGGGTTCGAATCCCACACAGGGCATGGATGATTAGTTTGTGTGTGTGCGTTTTTCTGTGTTTGTGTACAGGTAGAGGCCTTGTGACGAGCTGATCACCCACCCAAGGAGTCCTACCGAATGTGTAAGGTCTAGAAAAACCGAAGTGAACGGATAAGTTCACGGAGGTAGGCCTAGGCCCACTTGGGGTGTAGTGCCAAGGAAAAAAAAAGTATTGTAACAAACTCAACGTCATATGTTCCAGCATCGCGGACTGTTCATTGCTTTTCCTTTAAAAAGAGTAGAAAATTCGATATGGGTTTCTAACTACCGCTTTTTTCCCTTCACTTTCTGCTCTTCCAGTTATTCGTTTCCTCTGTTCACTCTAATCAGCTAATTCATTCATTCATCAATGGCTCTACAGCTCTTTATTGGGCCCTGGCCTCTTCTTCTGTTTCGTATTCTTTTTTACACAGTCGGTAAGTCTCCTTGGACGGGAGATCAGCCCGTCGCAAGGCCGCTACCTACACACAGGTCAATACAAACACAGACATCTATGCCTTGACTGGGATTCAAACCCACGATCCCAGCGTTCAAGCGAGCGAAGACAGTTCATGCCTTAGACCGTGCGGCCCCTGTCAGCTAATACTTAAAATATTTTCGTCTCAAACATGTACCTCCGACAAGCAGAAAAATCATATTATCAGGAAACAAATAAAGCGACACCATTAGTACTACTGTTTTCTTTTCGAATGTGCCCTGTAGTAAGACTGACAAGTAAAATCGCTGCCAATACAGCAGATAACACTCTGGTGGGCTGTAGGCTACATATCCCTTCTGGTTCTGGAGACATGCACCAATACCGCTGCCCTGCCATGAAACTTGTCCTGCTTGAGCATAGTCTGACTGCGTTTCCTTTGCAACTCAAAGCGATCTCGACATATTAATATCATATTTGTATCATCAAGCATATCAGCTTCCATTGCGCGACTCGACCCATTAGGTAGACATAGAAATGTTCCCTTTACTTATTTGAGGACACCATGAAGACTTGGGATTGGGTGGGGTGGGGACTGGTAGAAGTGTAAGTGCACCCGTTCTGAACTTCGGCACTAGTTGGAGGGGAATACGTCGGCTTCACGGTCCGGCAGTTTTACCTCTTACTCGACGTTAGTTAAGAGGCTGTATGAACTCCAGAGCCGGTCTAGAACATATGGATGCCTCATTTGTCCAACCGTAGCTTAGTCACTATACCGACCCTATTACCCCATATCCAGTTAAACGTACGACCTTAGTAAAGTTGTTCCCTGTGCTTAACTAATTAAGCACTATGCCATGAATGCGTATGGGGGAGTGGATGTACAGATCCACATTTTCTTGACCTGGCTGGAGGCGAGTGGTCAGTTTCAAGCCCCTGCTGTTTTACCCTCGGTGAAGGAGCGCCCGTTACCCATTCAATAGAAGGCTGGGTGGGCCCCAGAACCGGTCTGGACGATGTGGAAAAGAGAAATTCTTGACCCTACCGGGACTCGAACTCGGAACTCTCGGTCGTTCAGCCTGTAGCCTGTCGCTATACCGACTGCTCTATCCCGGCTCCACGGCCTTAGTAAATTGCATGAATTAGGCGGGAGGGATTGTTCTCGTAGAATAAGTCTGCAAGTCGTGACAACTAACATAGTGCTTGTGTCTTCTGGGTGAAGTGGAAACAGTCCTCCGACAAGAATGAGAAGTCCGTTACGTTTCCTCCTGCTGTCCTCTTGTTTGGTACAGAAGCACGGGTCAGGAACGTGTGGCCGACAACAGCAAAATCGTCCTTAGAATTGTAATTTCTGCTGGCTGCCTGAAATGTTAATTTTACTGGCTAAGTAAAACAAGAAGTTCTGCCAAGTACGCATGGCGCCTACTTTCTCTCAGTTGCTTATATGAAAACAAAGATGGAACCAGGAATTATGAATTAATATTAAAAGATATGGTGATTTAACTTTAAAGGATTTTGTCTGGTTTTACCTTAAAACGAGGACTACAGCTTGTGATTATAACATGAACTAAGACAGTGTAGCAGTTTTAACACAATTTAATAAAATAATTATAACATATTTAGACACCTGAAGATGGCCGTTTGGGGCCGAAACATGTAGTGTCAAGGTGTATAATGTTAAAGTAAAAAATTGAGTGGTGAATGGAAGAACGTTGCAATATTGACGGACGATAAATAAAGGACGTTAAGTTGAACAATTGCAACGGGATGCTGAAATACAGAACCATTCCTTATCTGTATAAAATATGAAGTTAAATATAGATTTTATATATCCGCCATGTTGTTATTCTACAAGATATTTTTCTTAATACAGGTAACATATTTTTCAAATGCCATTTGCTGCAAAAAACTTTACTAGTTCATATTAAAGAGCGCCAGTGATCTCTCCTCTCCAAAAATTTGAAGGGCAGTCCATTTTGTCGAATTTAATGGGATTTAAAGCAAGAAAATATACGGTATATCCTATTGACCAAATAGATATGTTCTCAGTCTGCTTCTGAAACTTCACACTGGACAAAGAATAATAAAAGGTACCTCGGGAAATTTAATTTTTACCAGAATCTTACCAGCTCTATATCGATTTCCTGGACCTCTCGTATTATTTCTGTGAAGTTTTCTTTGAGATGCTGCCACCTTAGTCCAAACATACAGGGACACTCGACTTCATTCAACAAGAAGCAAATTGCTGGCTTCCCTTTGAGCTCCTGAATTTTCTGCAGCTCTGGAACATTCGTTAAAAAAGATACACTTACGAGTACATCTATTGGCTTCTGGTATCTTTTGTTTTCCCAGTGGCGAATACTAAGCTTTTTCTTTTTCACTTAATTTACACTAAAATAGAATCTCGCATTTCTAGTTTTCTGACGTTCCCGTGCGTAAATAGTCACATTTGTGTGTTGTTGATTATTACCGATATTAACCGGTTTAAATATCCTAGTCTTAACACTGAAAATATATCAGGCATAGAAATGAAATTAAATAGCCTAGTAATCGTTTCTGGTGTAAATATCACTAGGCTGGATTCCAGTATTTGACAATCCAATAAGTTTCCATATTAGAAATATAATTAGCCTGTAGCAGAGGAACAAAACAAAAAAACCCCTCCGTAACCTGTAGTCCGCAAGCGAACTCTACCGACCGAGCGACAGCCGCTTGTTTGCGAAGTTAATGCATACTTTTATGGATATATGGTGTCACGTGGTCAGCGCGACGGATCCCCACGGCCATTAGTCTGGTTTTATAGACCGGAGCCGATATTTCCTTGAAATATCTCCTCAATTATCCTCACGAGGCTAAGTGGACCCCGTTCCAGACCCACTACTTCTCAGAAAATCTGGCAAAGCCGGGTATGGAACCCGGGACCTCTGGATTGTAGGCAGGAACTTTCACCACTAGACCACAGAGTGCAAAATAAGGTCTTAGTTCGTAAAATTCTGAAATATCAAATTAACTGCTTATTTTATTGTAACAAAATATGCATTCGATGCCATATCGTGTTCCTTCAAGAGCTGGAGAAGTATATCACTAGATAAAGACATACACTAGCACCCTCACGAAACCCCGCTGCTTGGCCAATTCATATGTTGCGTACGGATATACTTACGAGGTGGGGCCACCAAGTTGACGATCGTCCTTGGCATGTTGTCCCTCAAGTAGTCCAGAGCCTTGATCAGATTGTCCTTATGAAGCTTGGGTGTCATTGAAAAGTTTTTCATGTAGCACATGTGAGAACAGAAGTCGTTGGATCCGATCATAATAGTCACCATCTGCACAGATATCCACAGAAGCTGTATATTCTTATATAAGATTGCTTGTTTGTGAAAGAATGTATGCATGTTGTCTAGTGACTAGACACAGGGTTTGGATTGCTAATTGGATTAAAATTCTCCATTGAGAAAATTTTATTCGTTATCTGAGGTCGAGCCCCATCCTGTTGAAAGAGATCTTCTTCTAAGTGGACCACACTACCAGAAGAATAACGTGTGTTTCCTATAACACGTGAAATTCTAACATGTACGCCATCTTGTCGAAAAATGTTTCAGAAAGTCGCCACTGGGGTTGGCACCTTCTCCAAAACCAACCACATTACTAATTCGCATTGACCGATTAATTTAATATAAGCAATCGAAACCGAGATATCTTTTTATTGACAGCGGATAATAGAGCATTCCGAATTGAAAATAAATTCACTCAGAACGTTTAATGTCGACCTAAACCCGTGACAGTAAGTTTGTATCTTATTGGTCTAGCACTTACTTGATTCAAAAAAACTAGTGCACCGAAGGACAGGGGGCAGACCGTTCCATCATGTTGTATCCAAAATTCAATGCTTAAATATAGACTGTCTTAAAATTCGCCAGTATGATTAACGTAATGTATGAAAATGGGAAGCAATATTGAGGAAGCATTAACGAATATACGAATACAAAAAATCGTTTTCGGTTCTAATATTCGAGAGCAGTGATGAGTAGAACAGACTGGCTTTGAGACACTGTGTCCAGGTGGATAGAAGTTTATTCGAAAAGGATATGATTTTTAGTTCCATTTTGTGGCCGCGCCATAGCTCAAAGGGTTAGTCGCTGGCTTCCCACCGTGGCGGCCCTGGTTGGATCCCAAGTCTGGTCAAGTTGGATTTGTGGTGGACAAAATGGCGCTGTGGCAGGTTTTCTCCGTGTACTTCGGTTTCCCCTGCCAATCTTCATTCCACTAATTGCTCCACAATCACCCTCACCTATCATCTGAGGCTGGTACAATAAACCAGAAGTGGCCATAGTACAAGGGACTTAGTCCCACCCCACTAGCAATAAAAACATAGTTCCATTTTAAAATGTCACCCAAGAAATTAAGGCTAAATGTGACGCTGCATTGCCTCCTACCTTCCAGTCGTTCTCGTAGTCGACTCGCTTGTCTGAGCGCATGCGCTTCACCAGAAGTTCAGCCTGGAACGGCATGTCGCTCGTGATGGCCATCGGCTCGGCTACATTGAACTGAGAGTTCTTCTGGGACCCAAGAGAATCCTTGACGGCATACCCGATCAGAGAGGGATTGAACTCCTTCAGGATATTGGGCAAGGTCAGGTACTCACGCCATGTTGATTCGCCACCTGTCGTGAAAATGAATTTCAGTCAGCTTGGGAACACTTGCTATGTGCTCTTATATTATGAGCTGGTGAATGGCAGAAACAAATTACTGCTCTGCTCAATGTGAGTCACAGAACTTATAAACGATCTTAGAACGAACAAAAATAGGGTCATGGCTCCTGAAACCAAGCATGTGCTCGTATGTATTGACGAAGACCTGTAGGAAATTACTGCTCTGCTCTGATAATTTTTTCCTTCCTCTTCGCTCCCACTTTCGAGCATACGGCTGGTTTCTCATTTTCTGAATCGTTTTATAGAGGGTAGGACCCCTTGGACGGATTGGTCTGAAAAGATTTATCCACCTTAAATGCAGACTACTGAATCCCGTGTTCCCCTTTTCGTGCCCACGATTGTCCTATTCCAAATAAAGTATACACACACGACGGCAAGATGCCCCCCAGCAGCGGGATTGAGGCTGGGAGTGAACTCACCTCCGGACCAGGACATCCCTCTGTTCTCGATAGACACCTCAACCACATTAGCAGCAGCCGATCCACTCCCTGCTGTCAGGCTGTCTCCCATTGCACCAATGACGTCGATATCGCCGACACGCAGGCGATGTACGCTGTTCGGTCGCGTGGCAGACCGGGCTCCAGGATATCCGGGTTGCGTGTCGCAGGGGAATGGAATATCTTCCGGTACTGGCTCTTGGAATTTGTTCTGCAAGTTGTATTGTATAAGTTCTGAGACCCATTGCTGAGAGTAGGATGAGATTCGTGTTGTGATATTTCGATCAATGCAGCGATTAAAGCGTTGTTTCGTTAGTTCCTTAACCACAACTTTTCAACTGTGCAAGTTATGTTGCTTAAGGCGATATTCTAACGTGTTCTTCCTTTGGTGTTCAACTGTTAGCTTGTCTGTGGTCATTCCTAATTATCACACATTTTGGTTATAAAATTTGGTTTAGTTTTTAGGCATTCGTTTATTTTCTCTCTCATTTTTTAATTTTTAGTTTGTTTTCTTGGGGTGGGGTGAGACTGAGTCCACTTGGTACTGCGGTCACTAACTGGCCTATTGCACCAGCCCCAGATGATAGATGATAAATTATGATGAATATAGAGCAGCTGGTGGAATGAGAATTGGCAAGGAAACCGAAGTAATCGGGGAAAATCTGCTCCAGTGTCATTTTGTCCATCATAAATCCCACATGCCCTGACCTTGTCTCGAACCCGGGCCGCAGCGGTTGGAAGCATGTAACTAACAGCCTCCTCTCTCATTTACTCTATACATTTGACCGCGGTGAATAGGTCATTAATCATTCAGATATTTCAGGACTTCAGTTTCATATTACCATACAGTTTTTTTTATATGTAAATATTTTTCGTCTCTGTATGGTCTTTATTGAGACCCATTCTGTGGTCTAGTGGTTCCAGGCTACAGATCCAGAGGTCTCGGGTTCGATTCCCGGCGCTACTAGATTTTCTGGGAAGTAGTGGGTCTGGAACGGGGTCCACTCAGCCTCGTGAGGATAATTGAGGAGCTATTTGAAAGAAATAACGGCTCAGGTTGGGAATTTTGAATTTTTTGACGGAACAGAAATCTCCTTCCGGGTGAACTGAAGTGCCCATTTGAATACGAATGCCGATGCCTGGTCTAACCCTTCTGTATATATGATGAATTAGTACTGATAAAAGTCACCATGTCTTAGAGACATCGGGGGAAACAGCTTCGACTCATAAAGCTCCTGTGATTTACTGGAGGGGCAGGACACTTTATTCATTCATCAGTAATCTGTCAAGACGACAGGTCCACAGTCTCTTCCAAAACAGTTCCTCCACTTAATGCGATCTAGAGCTTCCTCCTTCAAATGAGAATATCCTCTTCTGTCCCCAAGGTCATCCAGCATCTTCTTACGTCTTCTTCCTCGTCTTCTGGTCACGTCTATCCGCCCCTCTATCTTTCCTTCAATAACTTCTTTTAGAAGGCAGTTACTAACATGACCAATCCAATTAGCCTTCCGTTTTCTTATTTCGTGTAGGATACGCCGATAGGCAGTCCATGTCGATTCTGGCGTAAGTGATGATAAGTGAGATGATGTAAGAAAATATCTAAAGCCTAGTATCAGGCCGCGCCATAGTTCAAGCGGTTAGTCGCTGGCTTCCCACCGCGGCGGCCCGGGTTCGATCCCGGGTCTGGTAAAGTGGGATTTGTGGTGGACAAAGTGGCGCTGAGGCGGGTTTTCTCCGAGTACTTCGGTTTCACCTGCCAATCTTCATGCGACCAAATTCTCCATCATCATAATCACCCGGGGCAGGTACATTAGGCCAATCAGTGGCCGCCGTGCCGAGTGGACCCAGTTGGACTCCACCCCCCACTAAGAGAAAAATAGGCCTAGTATTAATTTATTACTCTGTGTGAGGTTGAGTGTGCCAAAGCAACTGTTTGGTAAATGTCCTACACGAGACCAAAAGGTACAAAACTGTTCGTAACCTAATTGTTTCACAATTACAAATTATAAATCACTCCGTCCAATGTGACCGTAAGTTTTTTACTACATAAAAACTTAACACCCTTACATGTTTCGGTCTCTGTGGACCATCTTCAGAGGGCAAACATCACTACAGATAGGAAACCACTATCACATAATTTGTTTACACGCAAAGTACGTACACTTATATGTTACAGCACACAGTACACAGAATAGAACATTTCATAAACACAGCAGTTCCCTGGGTATGTAAGTTTTAAAAAATTGTATAAAATTCCTTGATGCTAATTAAAAGTTTTTTAGATTGTCAATGATTAAAATTCGTAAACCATGCAGGCTCGTGTTCGTCCTCCCATCGTCTCTCTTATATGGGGCAGATATTGTGCCACCTGGCTATCTTGATGTGGAGGTTCTGCAAATATATTACGGGTATTTACTATTTCAATGTAAATACTGTCTAATATATATATGTTTAAGGATATGTTATGTCCTACCTTTATATCGTCCAGGGTTTGCTCGTGGCTGCTATGCTGTTTTCACTGGACGGAGTGATTTATAATTTGTAATTGTTATTGTGACGGACCAGAATGAAACAAATCAAACTAATTGTTTCAATTCGCATCTATGTCTGTCAACACATACTTACTTACTTACTTATGGAGCTGAGCCCTTGTGGAGGAGCCGCCAATTCTGCAGCTACTCAAGAATTTCCCAGCATTTAATGGAACCCGAAGGTTCATTACAGTGTTCACAAGAGCCTTCCACTGGCCCCTATCCTGAGCCAGATCTATCCAGTCCATACCAGTCAACACATACAGTGTCCGTTATAAATTATACGTGTCTCCCAGATGGCTTATCACTTCCAAAATCATGCGACCCCCGCTGTAGTTTGTACTGTAAACAAAATGTTCACTCACATTGAAATATTGTGAGGTGGCTCTCAGACTGGTCCCTTTGGGCCTGTCCTCCTGTTGTGTAGCGTTCAGGAAGGTGGTACTTCTGGTAGCAGAATTTGACTGGCTGCCCGAGACTATGCCTCGTTTACTTGCACTTCCAGTTCGCAGGAGCCCCTTCAAGAAACCTCGGCGTACTACTTCATACTGTCTGTCTAGCCACCGAACGAAACTTGACTGAGTTTGCGTCTCCACCAATAGAGTCGCTGTAATCGTCAACAGCAGCAGACTCGTCGTCCTCATATTGCCTATTTGTTACGGTGCTGGTGGTCGTTGGTTTTTTATCTGCAAATATGTTAATTTTGTAAGATAACAGGAAGGTCAGATTAACCCCGGGTGGTAGTGGGGGGTTACGTCAGTGCCTCTGGAAATTCTATACTAAAATATGTGTATTTGATATTCATCTTTTATTTCAACTGTCAACACTTTCATAATCAATTCATATTAAAATAAATAGCTTATGCCTATAGTTGCAACTCAGACTGGGCCTATGAAAGTGCTACTACACAGAAAATAAATTATAGAACCAATAAGTGTATTTGTCACTAGTGTTCGAAGGGGAAGAATTTGATACTGTCACATCCATAAACACAAATTTTCTTGAAGGAGGATTTTGCATTTTCATCAGTCTCTCAAGCAAATCTACCTGCTCGCCCCTGCCCTCGAGTGGGAACTGAGCATTCACACAGAAAGTAAAACATTGCATGTGAAACCTCGTGGCAGCTGTACTCCTTCAACATCCCACGACCAGGGCCAGTTTAAGGCTTTTCGGGCCCCATGAAAAGCCAGATTTTGGATCCCTGTATATACAAGCTGACTGTATGTAACTGCATAAAAATTACAAATTTAGACACGACAAATCGATACTACGTAATGTTCCTGTTGCTTTTTAAAATAAAATATAAACTCTACAAGAAAATTGATGGTATATTCATGCTCTGAGCGTACTATTACAGTTTTCTCAAATAATGGGAGCTCTGACTGTTACTGCCAAAGTCATAAACTGGTCCATGAAAATTTGGTAGCAGTATATGAAGGTTATTCAATATACCGAGCAATATTTCTGTGATACAATTTTCTATATTATTTGACACGTGGAGAAAGACAAAGAAGCACTTTTCAACTTTAATTCGTCTTGAAAAATCAGCTACTGTTCTCGGTAATATACTGAGTTCCGTCTTGCGGCTGATGCCTAAATCCTGATCCAAAATAATGTGATAGTGTCTAGTAGTCACAGACTAAGAATATGGTCTGAAATTATTCTGAGATTTCATTTTGAAGTCCTTATTCAAATAGGACGGAATGAATGAATGTATAAGGATGGGCCATAACAATCCGGCCATTACACCGCGACCTTCAATGATCTATTGTGCTTCCCCTTTTTATTAACCCTTTATTAATCCTACAGTTCGAATGAAATGTAGGCCTTTGTTTATGGGGCGTCATAGCAATCACTTGGTTCCATAAAGAATTGGCCCAGGTGACGAAATCTTAAATAAGCTATGGCCTCACAGTCACATGGGATGTGTGTGGGCTGACTCATCGTCTTCTTCTAGGCACCGTTCACAAGTGGGGTCATCTGTCAGTCCCAGTTTGGAAAAGGGTCCTTTTAGGTGGCAGTGTCCTGTAAATAGTCTTACCACCCATCCTAATTGTCAACTTTGAATCCACACGGTTTCAGAGAACCACTGTTAGAGCTGAATAACTTGCAACAGAAGCGAATCACACATCTTGTGATGGTGAATATATATGCCAAGTTCTCTTAAACGTGTCGTTGTTTGGAAGGAGGAAAAAAGCAATGTAATTTGAAACAATGTTTGCTTTCTTTCTCTGCTTGAAAGCACAGGTTCCGATATCCTTCGTTCCAAGTTTTACTATGATAATTATAAAATTATCATCTATTGCAGGCGGCCAGTTACCTGGATAGGCTGGATATTGAAATATCGATATACTTGGTTTAGAGACGATTCATTTTACCTCTCTGGAAAGATGCTGTTTCCTTCCTGGGATACATCAATGAGACTTACTGGAGATGACACTTTATTAAAGTTTACCTCAGTGCTCGCTGCCACTGAAAATCTTGACTCGTATGCACTGCATCCTGTTGTGCATGTCACTGCTATGTAAATATGTCCGTCTGTCGAACGATTTTATGCTTTTAATAAATAACTGATTGACTCAACTTGTCGATAAAATCAGTTAGTTTATTAAGATGTTATTTTGCTACATGTTTCGGTCATCAGGCGTTTATAAATAAAAAAACGCGTCCATGCATGTTACTAGATTGCTTGTCGCAGGATCCATTGTTAAAGAGACTTGTCATGTAAAGATTTTTACAAAGAATTACAGTGTTTAAATGTAGTGAAATACTTACCTAAATTTAGTAAAGCTTATTTCAAATTATTGCTATTTGAAAATAAAATGTCCTGTTATATACAAGGGGTTTTAAAAGTGGAATGGCGTAGGGGGAATGGTGAGTATACGATGTATACAAATTTTAGAAAAATAATACTAATTTTAAATACATTTTACTAAATTTAGGCAAGTATTTCAGTACATTTAAACACTGTAATTCTATGTAAAAATCTTCATGTGATAAGACTTAACAATTGATCCATTGCGACATGCAGTCTACTGGTGAACGTGGATGTATTTTATTGTTTATAAAAGCTTGAAGGTGCGTCCACATTACTCGTGCTCGTGTTCGCCAGGCTTGTGCTCGTCGGGAGACTCGTCTGGCTTTTACTTGTGTTCGTAAATCTTCGTCCACACTACTTCAGTTGCTCGCCAGGCTTCGGCGCGTGAGGATCCGTATATTTACTCGTAGTGTGTATAGGTTGTAGTCGTATTTTAATTTATTGGCTGTAGTTTTTAAATAACAAATTTTAAATTTGCATGTCTCGTGACTTATCATATCGTCCACGTTACTCGCGAGCATAGCGAGTCACACAGGCACGAGCATGAGCACGAGCAATGTGGACGCGCCTTGATGATGGTCGTAAATGACAGAAACATGTAGCAAAATAAAATCTTAATAAGTTAACTTATTTCATCGACAATTTGAGAATATGAATTATTTATTAAAGCTATAAAATTTTTCGCGTCGACGGACATATTTACATAAAAAATATTGGCCTTTATTTAAGGCTCTATTTCGCTTTTTGAGAGACCCAAGTACTTTCTGCTTCTCTTGTTTTTCCTTCTTGAGTGCCAGATAAGTATTTTCCTTGTAATGTTGAAAACTCAAAGACCACCTGATTAAAACTGATAAATAGTGACACTGCCTCTATCTTTATTTCTACCACAAGTAACGATCACTTCATTTTTATATGTGTAAATCATATTCCCTGTAAAGTCATTTACAATTTTCATTGCATAAATAAATTTTTCTTACCCACTCTAACCTATAAATCTTCGCATAACAGCAGCGTGAAGAACTGGTGGTCGCGAGCTATATCTTGCACTCCATTGTAGAACAGTGTTTATGAATGTGTACATGATATTAATAGCTTATAACCTTATTTGTGCTACAATAGAGAACGCAGTTTCCTTTATAAAAGCTAAGCTTTTAAGTTGTAACCTGCTCAGCGCTAACTTTCAACTACATAGTACATGTCTTTTGTTCCGGAAATACGTAATCGATTGTTCGATAATGGACTTCAGAAAATTCTACGAACTCATACTCGACGTAATCGATATTTATTTAAAAAATTGATATGAAATTGAAAAGCTATTATTTCAAATCAAATAGTAAAAGACCAAACGTTTTGAATAATTTTTTTTCAGTGACGGTCCTTCCGTTTGGTGGCCCCCTTGCAGTTACCGTGAAAGAGATAAACGTAATCAGGTCCTGCGCGGAATAAATTATTTTTTATTCAATTATGTATTCGTTCTTATCAAAGCAAAAAAAAAAAGTCTAGATGTTACGTAATTGGTAAAATTACAAAAATTTTATTTGGTATTTGATCTTCAAAGCTCTCATTTTCAAGCGTTCTCATTACACAATAAAGAAAGACGCAGTCTGGACGATATGGAAGTAGCACTTGCCATGCAAGGTCTTCTCTGCCATGGTTTCCACTACACATGGACAAACAGTACTGCATAAATCTCATTCAAAACTACGATTTCGATTTGAAACATTGTATTTCGGAGAAACAATTCTGTGCCGTGTAAAATCTATAGACTAATGTTTATTATATTTGTCAAGAAAAATATTTATGACTGCAAAGTGCTCTATAGGCTTTTGTAGTTCCAAATTACATCTGCAGTTAGTGACCGCTAAGCTTAAAGACGTAAAATCACAATAAAAGTAGGATAGAGTAAGAAAATATGTGTATTCCAAACACATTACTCTTTCTACGAGGAGCGCAACCCCCTATGCTGCCCCCAGGCAAAGAGAAATTCCCTGCAGATTAAATAAGCTAAACTTCTCAAACGTTTGTCACGATAAATATTATGACATTTCCGGACATTGTACTGAAAATTAATATTGTTCGTCATTCTAAATGTTTTACATCATTGTTGTATGGCGTTGTTAAACTGCTGCCAGTTGATGGCCACAATTTGAATGAATATCAGCAGAAATTGCTTTTTATTTTTAAAATACAAAACAAATCTAAAATGTGGCGCCCATGAATTTATTCTTTCAGAGGCGACCGCTTGGTTTGCCTGTGCCGATGCTTCACCCAGAGGATTTCAATTGTTAGTAATTAAAATTCTATAATTATAAAAGGATTATGTGACGTAGGCAATATGGCGCAGCGGCTTCGACTGTGTCCGACCCTAAGACCCAGTAGCGCTTGGTTTTACCTCCTCCATGCAGAGGTGAGATATGTCCCGGAGCGTGGAAGCAATTTCGATCACTTCTTGAAAGGAAATAAAAAATAAAATTTCCTCAATACTTCTCATGTTACCAATCTTCCTATGTACAGTACTTTACACGCAGGATGTATTTAAGGTGTGATAATGGAATCTGAAATTACAATCGTAACTTTTTAAGGAAGGCCATCAGAAAAACACATATATGAAATGTTTAACTTTGTTTTATATACAGAAACCAGGCTGTAAAATATAGCATGTAGTACTGAGACATTATACACAGATAAATCCTAGCTTGCTCGGCTGCCTTTATTACAGCCCAACATGGGAGCAGTCACTGTTGTTGACAGTAGTTACGAAACTGAGAACCAGGAGGCATTTAGAGAGGTATCTATATTTCAGTCGGCATTATAGTTTCGACTTTGAGTGGAAATGCATTTCCATCGTCAATAATGCGCACACCCAGT